TCTTCCCGCCGCGGGCTCCGGCCAGAGCTGCAGCGGGGCCCCCCCACCCGCTGAGAGGGGACAGGGCCCCGGCCCGACCCGCCGTGAGGGGAGGAGGGCTCCGTTTGGCGTTAGGCGGAGGAAGGTGACGGGTCTCCCCTGTTACCGGCCCACGCAGGATGAATACTGATACTACAATTATTAATTGTGAGGAGAGCAGCTCCCACTGCTCGCTGGAGAAGGCTGTAGTGGTATGCGGTGGGTCCCCAGGGCAGCGTTACCCCCGCCCCGACTGAGATAGCCCCTGAGGAGCGAAGTTCCTTGGAGACAGCTCACAGTAAAAACTAACGAGGTTAGCTCTTTGCAAAAAAGGAGGATGAAGTCACTGGGCATCCTGCAGGAATAATTCCTACACCTGCTTCAGAAAGATTTACGCTGCGTAAAGGTGGAAGGGGGAAAGCTGCGGATGGGCTCTGGAGATCACCAGGTGCTGAACTTTCTGAAGCTGATGAAAGGGGAGTTCAGTCTACAGAAAAAACTACTGTGCTGTATTCATAAACATTCCACTTACCCTGGTCTCAAGCTGCTTATGTGTACAGTGGGGAGTAGAATTGGGCTTGGTCATTGAGGGTATATATTTTAGCCCTCAGGGTCCAGAAGAAACCTGTCTCCTCCTTCCTTCCCTCCCTCCAGTTTGCAAGGTGAATATTGGGCCTGCCTGCACATCTTCAGGAGACAGCAGAAGAGCTTAATCTGGAAGTCTAGGGGCAAAGACCTTTAATGCTCTAAATTACCCAGGGCTTGTTAAAACAGTAGGTGTAAAGCCTTTCTCAGCAGCTGCTATTAGGGCCAGACTTTTACTGATGGACGATACTAGATAGCACCAACATCTGAACGGCAATTGCATATATAGCCAGGTAAATAAGGAAACTAAGCGCTTAAACACAAATCCCATGAGAGAGGCATGTTAGGAGGTAATTTAACATCCTCTTAGGTGCTGTCCTTTCTCTGAACCAAGTTATTAACACATAAATTATTGTGAATAAATCTGGTTATTTTGCTTTGCTGGCTATGTGTATCTGTAGGTTTTGCATGATATTCTACCTTAGCAAACTTTTCAAGTTGATTGTAGTAATGTTTTTCCTGTCAAAAATGATCAGGAGTAGATTGAGAGTACATTCTGAAGAAATACTGTTTTCTATTACTAACCCTTAGAAACGTCCCATATCTTTCTACCACAGCTCATCTAATGTAGGTCTATCAAAATTGATTCAAAGATGCTGCTGTGTAATGGCTGACTATATTAGATATTAATTGGAGTTGAATTTCTACTGTGTGGATGGAGTCCCTTAAAACCGCTCCCAGTGTTCAGACAGATCCATGTCTGCGTATCCAGTATAGATGTCCAAAGACTGCACATGGAATTGGAAATGCTTTCCATCAGAGATAACCTATTCAGGAGAGTTATTTACAGTCTTAGATCATCAAGACTTAAGAGTCAGTCATCTATGCTGTCTGCCTAAAACTCAACTGCTGTGTTAATCTGAGTGTAACTTTTCATTGTCCTTCATTTGCCCTAAGTGGATTTGGGTAGCTATTACAATAAGAGTCTTCACCCATTGCTAAAGCCACTTTTATTGTCTTCATGTTTAAAGTTTTCAGAATGACTTCCTTGGTTGACATGCCCTTGAATTATGAAAAGATGTTTGCTCATCGATTCACATCAGATGATGAAGAGTACCAAGAATATCTAAAACGCCCTGCAGATCCCCCTCCTATAGTTGAAGAATGGAGAAACAGATCTGGTGGCAACCAAAGGAACAGAGATCGGTACTGATTTTTTTTTTTTTTTAATCTTGGTAGTTTTACAAATCCATAGTTAAATGATCATTTATTTCAGAAGAAAGATAGGAATCTGTTCTGTTAATAGAAGTACCTTCTTGTTACTTCATAGGTAACTATGTTTAAGAGAAACAGTTTTCTCTGAAAAGTAATGAGGTTTTACATTTTCTCTGTATTGATAGTCAAAGTTTTTGCATTGTGTATAAAAGTATTAAGTAATTTGCTTTTTAGTAAGGAATGAGCTGGAACCACCAAACCCATTGCCCTGGGGTTTGTTACTGCTTAGCCAGGAACATTTTCCCAGGGCGGAAAGATGGGAGTTCTGCAAAACTAAGCAGCCTATCTTCTGTTGGATAGTAACTGGCAGGAGAATGTGCGAAGGAGCAGGCTAATAATGTGATTATCTGTTACTATCTGCCCAGAAAAACATTTCATTTGTAACCTAAATATTTGCTGTACTTTGTTAGATTAGCCTGTATTTCTTTTATCTAGGAGAAATGGCTGTAAAATCCATCATCCAGTCTGTCTAGCAAGTGCAATGTTACCTGCCTACTGCAAAATATTTTGAATTATTTCTTCAAGATGTAATTGCAGCTTTTTACTGAATTCTGGAGAGTAACATCTGATTTCTGTGTGACTGAAAAACAATTACAGCATATAGTATGTTTGGTAATACTAACATCAGCCTTTAATATAAAGTAGTTAAACTCCAGTCCAACTAACAACTGGGAAAACTTCTTAGCTAAATATCTAAATAGGATTTGTGCCTTATCTGAAGAAAAGGAGGACAACATTCTAACTTTTTCTCACCCTAGAAGCTTGTCATTAAGTTAAACACAGAACCAGTTTCTACAGATTTTAAAAAAAAGGTGATTCTTTAAGGAGATGTTCTTAGAAAAGTCTGTGGTTCTTTGAACTAATGAACTCTTACATCTACACTCATGTAAATAATGTTTGTCTATACCACACCATTGAGATACCCAAAGAAAATGACTGTCAGGCAGCTCAGGTGTTGATAGGAATCGAGATACAACTGAAAAGCTAAAATTTAGACTGAACAATGGGTAAAAACCACTGATAAGATACACTCTCTTGAGTATGGGAATCTACAAGAGACCATGAAGCAGTGGTAGTGTGTGGTTTAGGGAATATGCAAATTCCAGGACTCTGCTGTTAGGTAGCTAAATTGTACTTCAGCCTGCTTTGGCACAGCTTTCAACCATGCAGCTACTAGATTGAACCTGGCTTTGATACAGCTACAGACGTATCTTGTGGTTGTTTTTTAGATATATGGTCTGTTTGAGTCTCTTCAAAGTTCCAGCAGTTCACCTCACGCCTGTGAATAGTTTGTGTTAGGGAACAGACTGTCCTTCCATCGCTTAGCAAATAGTCTGTTGGGTAGTAGTAAGAAATTAATGAACGATCTCAGGTGACTGTACATATGTTTTCATCAGTGTCATAAAAACAGATAAGTAGTTGAGTGTATGAACAGTTACATGACAGTTTTCATGAAAACGGTAAGATTTAAGAGCTCATTATCATTCATCTTTTAAAACCTCACAATTTGTGTGAATCTTTGACATTTCTTTTCATTGCAGGTTTCAAGATGGTAGATATTTTAGAGGGGACAGATACAACTGGCAAGGTGACTATAGATCTAATCAGAGGCCAGAAAGAAGTTGGGGTAATAACTACCAGCAGCACAGACAAGGACAATCGTACTCCTCCCACTACGGACAATATGGCTACAACTCCTACAACCCAGGGCCTCGTTACCATCCCTACTGATGGTACTCGCGGTTTGAAAGTCCAGCAATGCTATGTAACAAATGCAGTTAGACTTCAGTTTTCTTATTTTTCCACAGTTTTATAGATAACTGAAGAATCAGTATTACAGTCCATTGCTGTTTATCTGTAGTGTGAATTGAAAAAGGGAATACCTTTTATGAATAATAAAAGCATATTATACAGAGTTTGTTTAGAGTCTGTAGATCTTAGAATAAATTTCTATCTTATTCTTCTGTCTGAATACATACTAGTACACTTCTTTTCTTCCATCACTGAGATTTCTCTCTGTTACATTTTAGAAAACACAACAGGTCAGGGGAAAACAGCTAGCTGCAGTTTGTGTGCAGCCTGTAGTAGTGGCACATCGCCTTAAGATAGTTCTTTTTTGAAAGTGACATACTGCGTCTTTCTCTGGAGAGAGTTTCTTAGTTTGGCTTTTGATAGTGAGAAAAGCTCAGTTTGGTTTGACTTTCAGATGCCTTAAAACTGAGAGGAGAGATGCTATTACAGAAATATTCTATGGCTATGGGGTTGGCATAGTGTCTGTTGACTCAATAGCTTCAATTTATTTGCAATATTCCTCTTAAAACACGGTCTAAAAGTTGGAATAAAATTAAATGTTTAAATACGTATTTTCTTATTGTAGTAGTTCAGTGATATACAAGTTTTACCTGAGAAGTGATATCAGACTTATTAATTTGTATCATCTTAAAATAAATTTGGTATGTGCATAACAAATTTAGGAATTCCCATTTCAGTAAAGCTGTAAAATTTGATGATAATCGTAATTAGTTTGTATGAAATACTTTGTGCATGTTCTAGAAGAAAGTAACCATAATCAGTACTGTTCTGTACTTTTTTTGCATGAGAAAATAGCATAAGCGGTGCAGAGTGTTACTCAGTTGTTAGAATTTAAGTTCTGTGGGTTTTTTAAGTATTCACACAATAAAAGTATAGTTCAAATGTAAGGACGTTTCTGAATATTTCCGAAACCTACTTTTGAAACATTCAGAATTGCAACACTGTCATCTAGGCTGACAGGTGCACAAGAAGCAGTACTAACAGATAAGTGTTAATACTGGACAGCTGTTGGTTTAAGTTAGAAGAATGGCCTACTCAGCTACAATCAAGAGGATGAGACACATTGTGATTAATCAGAAGTCTGGTGTGTTAATCCACTACTTTACATCCTACTGTAATAGGGTCAAAGTTCTCTATTGCACCATTTATGTGATAAGCTAATTTGTATCAGGAGAGCAGTGCATTTCTTTGTACTTGACATTTTCTTCAGCTGTTGTTACAGAAACGCAGAACCATCCATGCTGACTGTTGTACAAGTCATGACATTACGTGATAAGGAGTGCAAATTAGCGCATCTTGATTTAAAAACAAAGAATAAATATAGAAGTCAAAGGCACAGTCTTCCAGCTCATAAGAAGCTTTTAAGAGCTAAAGAGTGTGTTTACTGCTGATCTTAGAAACACACACTGTATGTAGCTTTTACATAGTCTGTGACACAAAAGCCATGACAAAAGTGTCTCCACCTACCTGGCAAGTATTTCTGTTTTCTGCTTTTCATATAATATTGTTAACTCTGATACAGTTTTTAATATCCTACTCCCTGAAGTATTTGCCTTGAATTCAGTTGATTAACCTTAGAAATCTTTTAGCGAGAGGTTTGTTTTTCCTTAAGGAGGTCTACTGGATGAAGTGCACACTTTGTAACCCTCATTAACATGGCGGAGCTGTTACGCTGGGGGATATAAGGTCATGCAAAGTTCTTATCTGTGCACTATGGAGAGCCTGCAAGATGGTATGGTGGAATTCCCTTTCAATGTAGAATCGCATGCAAAGTGCCAGATAGCCCAGACTCCCACCTCCAAGAAGGGCGTGCATCTCTTTCTGCAAGGAGCCCGACGCTGCCAGCTATGCCATGGAAGTCAGGCTGTGCCAGGATGTTGTTCTTCCTTACCATCTGGAGGAGCATCTCGCGTTGAAATAAAACCTGGCAAAAGGAACGGATTCTGTCTCATCTGTTGCTCCTCCTCAAGCCCAATAACTATGTTATTTTTGGTGTCTTTCAGCTAGTGAATAAAGAATCTACAACGTTGTGACCAAACTGTAGAAGCAGATAGGTTAGGATGGCCTAAGTGGAAGTTATGACTTAGTTATGACACATTTCATGATCTCAGCGCTCTCATTCTGAGTTTCTCGACTGTGAGACCAGGAGAGACATGGGCCAGTGCAGCTTCCCAGTTTCTGTCTTTATATTCTTGACTCCATCTGCCTCAGCATTAGAGCTCTCAATTCAACTTCAAGGACCTGTATGATTTAAAAATTTTTCCTTTGAACAATTATGGCAAAAATATATTTTTTTTTTAGGGGGAATACATTTCTAAATAAATGCATGCCTTGCATTGGACAGAAAGGTAAATAGAATTCAATACATACTACCTCCAGCAGTTTCCACTTAGATGAATTAGTATTTATGATGAACTCCAGTTTATTGTTTCTGTCAAGCTAAATAAAACCAGTAAATATTGCCTCCAATTACAGCTTTTGCATTACGGATGACAAAACTGAAGCTGGGTAACTTCAACATTTGCAACTTCAAACACTACAGAAATTGTTTGCTTTAACTGCGCTGGAGATTGCAGGGTAAACATTAAAATTCAGTGTCTGGAATCTGGCTTTAAGAGATCTCTTCCATCTGACATTTGCTCAGACATCATTATTATCATGAATAAAACAAAAGATAAGCATTATGTATTAAAAAAAAAAAAAAAGACTGCCACGTTACCAAGAGTTTGAACACCCCGGAAGTTCTGAATACGGCTCTTACAGCAGTTCTAAATCCATTCCTGCACACATACAGCAATTTTGTATGGATTGTTAATTGACACTGACGACTTATGCTAAATTACAGGTGCTGTGGCAAACAACTAAGAAAACTCAGTAGCTTTTTATACAATTTCTTAACTAGCATTTAAAAAAATGCTAAAGGCATTCAAATCACAGCTAAGCCACTAGATATTTGAAGGCAAAAGAAAGTGCACAGGGAAAAGAAAAAGAAAAAAAAAAAAATCTCAGTGTGATTTGTGAGATACAATTTTACAAGTGTTCACTGCTATTCGACCTCTATTTTATCCTAGCTCTGCAGCTGGGAATAGAAACGTGCAGATGTGCTTTGAAAGGTTAGTTAGAAGCCAAACTACTTTCAAGAGGCTCTCTAGTAGAGATTTCAGACAGGGAAGACAAGTGTAATTTCTGATATACATATAATCATCATTCAATTTCTAGAAAAAAAATATATTTGATCTACTGTTTATAAATATATTTGAATATATTGCAGCAGTTATATATTTGAATATACTTAAACTCATACTGTTAATTTGCTAATAAATATTCTGCTTAACCAAGAAACTTCTTCACATTTGCTTCTTATACTGAGATGTTAGAAGGAAAATTCTTTTTGTATCAAATTTAAGCTAAGGTTTTGCCTGTCACCACCCCTACTCCTTAGGGGGAAAAAAAAGAATCTCCGAATTACACAACTCTGGGTAAATTTTGTTAGCTGATCTAACTTGTGCGGTCACACCTTCTCTAACTCTGACAAGCAAGAGCAGGTGGGAATATGGAGCAAGAAGGAAGGGAAAACAGGACTGCTCCTTACAGCAGCTACTGACCGCCTTAGGAGCAATTTAATGAAACTGCACCTCCCTTGCCTTTCATTTGCCAATCAGGAAAAATTACTATAATCTGTCCCCTTGTCCCTCTGTGTTAGAAGAGAGCTATATAACCCTGCTTAAATTACGCACAGTGCTGATATTCTAATGACCAGAAGGCTAAGCAAGATTACAGGGCAGATCAGGTTTCCCTGAAAAGTACCTAGGAAATAGGCAGCCTGATTTGGGACACAGGGAGGTAAATCCTAGCGATCAGAACAGAGTCCAGTGGATCCAGCACTGCCGGGAGAGTAGATGGCAACCGAACTACGGTGGTGCACAATCATCTTGCCTCTCAGGAGGATTATTTTTTCATTGGGCCCCGCGGGCTGGAATTTATTTTTGTGTTTACCATGGCCTATATTTTTCTTCAGTAAAGCACGGACTGCACTTAGTGGTTGTCAGTCCTCATTTGCTTATGTGAAAGAGTGGTGCCAAAGTGGTGTTTCTATACAGCTCACCCCCTGACTTTCTAAGTACTCTGTCCTGTTAAAATGTAAATTTATTACAAGATATGGTAACAGTTGGTAATAACTATGTTTTCCTCTAATAAACACACAACAGGATAAATCATATCATCATCCCCCATGGTTACCTTTTTTGTTATCTGTGACTAGCAGGAATACAAATGATGTTGTCTTTTTCCGAACACAGAGATGCTTCTTTTTCAAATAATACTTCAGCAGCTGTATCACTTTTTTCCACAAGTATGGGCTGCCGCCTTTTTTCTTCTTTTTTTTTTTTTTTTTTGCCATATTGTGTAATTCAAACTTGCTTCACTAATAACAGACGTATCAATAGCAAGTATCAAGGCTGCTCCTGCTCATTGTTTGAAGAAAAAACTCATCTATTCAAGAGATGAGGTAAAGTTAAGACAGCAGCTTAGTAATTTGTTATAGAACTACAAAAATAACCAAGGCCCAACCTTATCCATGAAAAAAAATAATCTTCAAGGATTCAAGCAGCATCTTCAAACTGAAGCATGTTACATGTTAAAAGAATGACTAAGACACTAAGCTTTTTCAAAGCTCTTATTCCGTGTGAGGAAAGACAACTTAGTATTTATATACACACATAAATTAAATACTTAAGATTATAATTAGTACTGTTGAGATAAAGGTTAAAAAACCAAGCATACTGTAAGATGTTTCACATAGCTTTTGGCCACCACATTCCAAGCCTAGCATGATCTGAGATGATCAGAAAGCAGATGCTTTGTCCAAAGTCATGTCTGAAGTTTGTTTCTGAAGAACTGCTTGAAACAATACATTTTCTATTGAAAATGTGCTCAAGAAAAATAAAGTAACAGTAATAACTGCCAAGTGCAACCAGCCCCAAATGATTACGTACTCTTTTTTACAAAATAAAAAGAAAATTATTTTTTCCATAGCAAAGGCCTGGTTTTTAAGTTTTACCCTTCTGTAGTCATCAAGTCATCTTGATTTATGAATGCCAGTGAGACCTAAACCAAAGCACGTTTAAGAATACTGCTTCAGTGGTTTCTATGGTATGAGCATTTAAATGCAGCATATGAAACCTCTGGAGTTTAGATGAGTTTAGTGCAAGAACTCTGTGTGGACACAGGCTCTCCTCAGAACAAGCTCATGTTACTCATTTATAAGCCACACACTTGAAACGCCTGCTCTGAGGTGAACTGACGGAGCACCAAGCTTGGGGTACACACACCCTCCACTAAACCCTAGCTACAGCTAAACTGCTGTAAGAATGTAAAGGAGCTTTACCTTAAATTGCCAACATGGGCAAATCCTATTTCTCCAAGCTGCAGGCAGCTCAGAGG